AATTACCCTTTTCCCTTCGATAGGATCCTATATGGTCTTTCACAAGCCGACCGATCCTACTTAAGATCTCGTGTTTGACTACATTGCTTTTGAGTTATGACGAGACATATTACTATTGACCAGTTTGAGTTGAGCTGAAACAAGTCTTGTTGGCTTAAAACTCTGATTTCACTTGCACACTTGACGAAGAAAATAATCTTAGTTGTTGTTGTTTTCCCATTTAGCTTTTGAATTATGTTGTATTAAATGCTTCCTATGATTATACTATAAGGTTTTCAAGTTAGTGATAGTATTTTTCTATATTTTTTGGAAATAGATAGTTGTGTGTGGAAATCGAACACAAATACAGGACGAGGTTACCCAGGCTATAACTCATGAGCTAATTCATGCATTTGATGACTGTCGAGGTGCAAACTTGGATTGGACTGATTGTGCTCACCATGCTTGTAGTGAGGTTCCATTTTAACAACGACCCTTTTATTCATATTAACTTTGATGTAGTTTTATGTATTAGTTTCAATTAATCATTTTTTCTTGATGATGATGTGAAACAGATAAGGGCTGGTCATCTAAGTGGTGATTGTCATTACAAACGGGAACTTCTACGAGGATTTATGACTGTGCGAGGACACGAACAAGTACACCATCTCTTTCCTACCTTCATTTATTCTACACATTTATTTTGGTTGAATACTTTTGGAGATAATGTGCAACAGCTTTAGAGAAATTACTAGATTTAAGTAAGTTGCTTTAGTATTGATTGTTTCAAAGTATTTATTTGAGATGTGCTATGATAATTTGAAAATTAAGCATCCGGCAATTTATTTTCTCCTATACTTTTAGAGATGATTCTCAATTTTTTTGTATCTTTATTACTACGCGATAGACTGTGCACTTGCAGTTAGTTCGGTTAGACTCAGAAAGTCGCGATCAAGTTATATATATATATATATATAGGGGCATATAAAGTGAGCAAAGTGTCTTATAGTGAGAGATGGGAGAGTAAGACAATGAACCTTAAACAGAAGTTAACAGTTGTGATTAAATCTCATTTTAACGCATCATGCAACCCATTCGTGTTCTGCTTTGTTTCTTCACGAGTCTTGTTCGTCTCAGTTTTGCCATTGAACACACATAGGCTGTTCTCATGGATGACGACAAACTTATGGTGGATAAAAAGAAAAAAGTTGAGGAGTCGAGTGAATTTGCCCTTTTCATTGTAGTTTTCTTGGGTGCAAAAACACAGTTTGTTAAAATTGAATCTCAGTAATATATTAATTTGATGGCTTTAGCTTTGTATTTTACAATATACTATTGTATAATTATTTGATTCCCCTCGGGAAGGGTTTAAGGAGCGATGGAGTTAAGGTTTCAAAACAAGCAGTGGTCCATTACACAGTACCCTCATTGCTGAATCACTTCCCACCTGGTCAAATCTCACTCCTTTATCCATAGAGAAACAAATGAGAGATATAGAAATTTTAGACAACTAGTATAACCACACAAAATCATGTTTCCTTTAGACTACTTTAGGATACTTCGTACCAGTTTTGGCAGCAGTAATGATAATGTCTAGTTGGGGCTTATGATTTTGCGTCCCCCTTTGTCCCTGTATAATGGTTACATATTGCTGTACTCTATCGTTCTCGGTGAAGTGGAATTGCCAAAGATTATTTCCAGATTTTATTGTTTCACAGCGAGCAATTATTTCATCATCGTCTAACACTGTTTTAAATATTACTGAGGTTATAGACTAACTACTTCAATACTGATTTGATGTAATTTACCATGAAGGAATGCGTCAAAAGAAGAGTTTTGACATCATTGTCTTCAAATCCGTTTTGCTCTGGTTCAACCGCCAAGGATTCTATGGAAGCTGTATGGGATGTTTGTTATAATGATACAGCACCTTTCGATAGAGCTCCTTAGAAATCACATTGTTCTTGCCAGTTTATGGCATAGCAACCATTATTTCCATTCTTTGCCTCAAGGGACCGAAAATGTAATTCAAGTTAAAGAAAACAGTGACTTGTTTATTTTTAGCTGAGATCTCTTTATCTTATGCAAATTGTAACTTCATATGGAAACTTTTTTTTTCCTTCTCATTGTTTCTTGGCTTGCCAATTAGCAGCATAACTGGATGTTAATTTAACACTTGTGCAGTACACTGAATCCAATTTTTCTTGTTTTTATTGCAGCCCTAACATCTTTATTGTGTTGGTTTTGAAGGGGGTGAATTTAGTCATACATTGCTTAGTGGTATGACTTGTGTTGTGTTTATAAGTCGGGGCAGTCGTCATGTTATAAATAAATCGGTTTTATAGGGATGAATTAAGTCCAACCTAAATTTTGAGATGACATCAGAGCTTATCCTAGATCCATCGTTGGGCTTCCCGCATCGTCTACGCCCCGGGTTCATTGAGGCCCAAGCGTGAGAGTGTGTTGGAATTTTCACCTAAATTGCGGTCCGTATCTAATCGCCTTATTTGCGGTACTTTGACTTGATTTAGTCCCACGTTACTTAGAGATATGAGTTCCACATTTCTTAAACATATAGTCTGTGTTGTATTTATAAATTACGGCCGTCTACATCTTACAAATTTGTTGTATAGGGATATGTTAGCCTCAACTCATTTTAAGTCTTCATTCAACTCATTCTGAAAATGCTATCATCACATTTTTGAGAAAGTATTTTAGATGATTATTTAACTCAAATATTAATTAACATTTTTTACTGTCTTACATAATTTTCAAGTTGTAGGCCGCCATGTGGAGGATGTTATAGATTGTTCTTGATATTGCCTTTAGCACTTTACATCCACCACGACAAACATTTGTAAATTTTGTTCTGTACCTTGATTATTTTCTACATCAAATATTACTATCCGATTTGAAATTAATATAAAAAATATCAAATTATCTTAATTGATTTAGATCGAAGGATCATAAAATTATTAGTTCTTCTATTTGAGATGCCCTTGTAGTGTCTGTTTGGAACCAAAGAAATGCATAAGAAAGAAGTAGATGCTAGAGAAGTAGGAAAAGAGAGAGGCCACTTCTCTTGTTTGGAACAGGAGAGAAATAAGGAAGAAAGCTAAAATTCTCTCCAATTTGCCAAGAAAGGAGACGAAGGAAGAATGATTCCGCTTTTACCTCTGTTATTAACAATAATTTTTAATCAATACAGCAAAAATCAGAAGTTATATATGGATATCCATAGAGCCTCGTCGTTTCTCAAGCATGCAAAAACAAGAATGTGTTACTCGAAGAAATCAATCAAAAATGTTTTGAAGTTTAAAAATAACAATCAATTTATTGAAAAAGCAAGTATTTTGTTTTGGATATGATGGAAACGTGGATCGGTGGGTGTGGGTAGTGTCTGTGTGAGAATGATTACATGGAAGGCAAGATAACTTTTTGGGGTAATTTGACGATTAACTAATAAAAATAAAATCAGAAATATAATCATATTAAATTAATTAATAGCTAAAATTATTATTTTTAAATTATTTGACTCCTTGTGATTTTATTTTAATGGATTAGCGAAATAAATTAAATAAATTAAATCAAGTAAGTAACTTAATAAATTAATTACTTTTAGTTTAGCTAAAAGATTCAATTAATTTTAATGTTTTTATAGAAAAAATACAAGGGGTATTTTTGTAGTTTTAAAAATATCAATACTTCTCTTCTATTTCCTAGAAGTATATCTCAAATTTATTTAATTTCTCAAATTTTTCTCTTATCACCGTTTTTCTCAACCCTTTCTCTCTTCTCAATTTCATCTCATAATCAAATACATCTCTAAAATTATAGTATTTTATATGTTATTAGTAATGGTTGAAATTCAAATGTTAAAATTTTTTAAATTTAATTATTTTAAATATATCATTTAACTTTTTTTCTTCTACAAATTAGTCCTTATTAGGGGTGACGCATATCTATCCTGATTAGATTCGTCTTACAAAAACCTACAAAAAAAATAGGGCGAGGCGGAGCAGACATAGTTGATGATGTGAGTTTAAAACTTACATCCGTCCCGCAAAAAAGTGAGGGCGGCGGGAAAGTCCGCAGACACTGCATCTTTTAAGTCTAAAAACACAAAATTTATGTAAATGCCCGCGTCGACAAAAACTCATGAATAAAACAGACGGGGCGTAATAAACACATTAGAGGGTGAAGGTCTAAACCCTTGACCCGCCCCGCATTAAAGTGCAAGCAAATATGACATGTTCAATGAGCCGGATCCGTTTTACCACCCCTAGTCCTTATACTATATTTTATTTACGTTTGCTAATTTTTAAATGATCAAAATGGTGAAGAGTTATTGTTGTCTTCCTGAATTTGAGTCGTTCATCGATTTCGATTCTGATTTCGTAGTTGATGGTGACGTGCCTTGCTTTTGATTACTGATTTGTTTTAGATTTGTTGAAATATGCAATTATCAAACTGCTTGGGTTGACGCTATTACAACAAAAATTTTATTCTGTTTCAAAATAATGTCGTTGTCGTTCCTTGTTATGGTTCAGTGTAATTTAGGTTTGTTTTGTTTGAAAGAACTATTATGTGTATTGTGATTTTTTTTCCAGAGTTGTTGATATATAAATTGGTTTGGATTGACGGTCGATTTATTCACCATTAATTAAAGTTTATGAAAACTCATACAAAAATTGCATGTTCGCTAAATACTATTTTAGTATGTTTTTAACTCTTTTGGATCTTTGTTGTAATAGTTGTATTTGAATTAAAATACTAACTATTTTTGATGTGATTTGACTGAGTCAAATTTTGCTCCGCATATACTATTATTATTTTTATTTAATATATTAGTGGTTTGTCCTAATATTAAAATATCAAAGGTCTATTTTTAATAGAAATTGTAATTAAGAAAAGAGAATCTAACATAAATATTTAATTCGAAAAAATAAACATAAATTCAAACTCTTTTGCTGCTCAACTCAATTTCTCAAGCGGAACCCTGAATCACGTTCCGGCGCCGGATGGAAGAGATTGCCGCATTCTCCTCCGCCGATGCCGACAAAGCTCTGAAGGATTGCGAACTCATGATTCAGAAGAGTCTCAAATGTATTTCAATTCTTCATCTTTCTCTATTATTGTTACTATTGCATTTTCTGGTTTTAGGTTTATTCTCTCTCCAATTCTAGTAGCTTATTCATCTTGTATTATCAGCTCCAATCGTGAAATTTTTGAGGGAACACTTGGAGAAAGCTGGGTGTCCTGTTCAAGACAATTTCTTCAAAGCTATTAAGTGTGATAAGTTTCATGCCGGCGGTTACATTCCCGGTGAAGGGGTGGGTACACACGTTTTCATTTTTTTTATCAAGAAATAATTCATATATGTTGAGAATGATAACTATGAATCTGTTTGAGAGAATTTATGAAATGTTCATAGACATTTTTCAATGTATTTTCACATATCTTTTGGTATAGTTTACGAAAATAGTTTATATGGAAACAGTTTTACTTTCTCGTCTTTTGTTATTAGATTTTTTTTGAAAGATTGGTATCTAGCATTGCGACTGAGTAATTCAAGAGGACCAATCCCAATGTCCACTTGTATGGACTATCCAACAAATGAATGGTTAGCAACTAGCGGGATTTGAATTTGAAACCTTGAGAGTAGCACACCCTCGGGGTTCTTTTGTATATTAGAATAGCTGATACACAAGCACTAATATGAAAAATGCTTATGTTATAGATGTTAAATTGAGTTATTTATCTAAACATGATTTTTTGTGATAAAAGAGGAAGGCAATTGATTGTCTAACGCCATGATTTTGTGACTTTAGTCTATTTATGAGAGAGAATAGTGATTAAAAATTAAGATTGTTTGGATGAGAGATAGTGGCGTGTTAACAGAGAGATAAATAGAAAGTCACCAAAGTTAGACTATTGAAAGGTAGACAATCACACCTTAGAAAGGAGGGTGCGCCGTTTCTTATGATGGTGCATATGACCATTGACAAGTTTGAGTTGAGCTGAAGCAAGTTTTGTTGGCATAAAAAGCTGATTTCACTCGCACATTTGTGGAGGAAATAATGTCAGTTGTTGCTGTTTTCCCATTTAGTGGTTGAATAATGTTGTATTCATTGCTTCCTATGATTATACTATTATTATACTATTAAGGTTATTTTTCTACATTTTTTGGAAACAGATAGTTGTGTGTGGAAATCGAACAGAAATGCAAGATGATGTTAACCAGGCTATAACTCATGAGCTAATTCATGCATTTGATGACTGTCGAGCTGCAAACTTGGATTGGACTGATTGTGCTCATCATGCTTGTAGCGAGGTTTCTTTTTAACAATGCCCCTTTTATTCATATTAACTTTGATGTAGTTTTACGTATTAGTTTCATTTAATCAATTCTTCTTGATGACTATGTGGAACAGATTAGGGCTGGTCATCTAAGTGGTGATTGTCATTTCAAACGGGAACTTCTACGAGGATTTATAAACATACGGGGGCATGAACAAGTACACCATTTCTCTCCTTTCATTTATTCTAAACATTTATTTTGGTTGAATATTTTTGGATAATATGTGCTACAACTTTAGAGAAATTACTAGATTTGAGTAACTTGCTTTAGTATTGAATGTTTCAAAGTATTTATTTGAGATATGCTATGATAATTTGAACATTACGTACTGGCCAACTTTTTTTCTCCTTTTCATTGAAAATCATGGAAATTCAGGAAGATGAAAATAGAACTTATAGGATTAGAGGGATTACAGGTTCCTTTTTTTCTCCTTTTCATTGAAAATCAGAGAAATTTAGGAAAATGAAAATATAACTTATAGGATTAGAGGGATAAAGGTTCCCCTTAACATGAAAGAAAACACAGAACAGTTAATGAAGAAAAATATCAATGAAACAAAGCTACAAGGAAACTTATCTTGAAAAGACCATGTCCCATACACCAAATGCCTTATTTTATCCCAGATCTGCTGCTGATGCAATGAAATCTCCTTAAAACTAAATATGCAATACTTACCTCCAATTATTGATTGACCTATGGAACACCGAATTTATCAAAGTGTCAAATAATGAATTGCAAAACAAAACGGAAGCAGAGCAATATACAACAACAAATTAAGGCCTCGCAAACCACCCTCCAATCCATTAGATTTGAACCATATATTGGGAGAAGCAAAAGTAGAATCCGGAGTAGGCACAAGATGTGCCAAGGACTGGTTGGTCGGCTCTTGTTTCTTGCCCACACTAGACCGGTTATCCCATCATCTGTATTTGTAATTAGCAACTTATTCATAATACTAGAGAATCTCATCTTTGAACTGCATACAAAATGCTGCACTTCTTTGTGTGAATTGCAACACTATTTAAGCATGGTAAATTGAGCCTAGAAGCTTAAGCTGATGCAGACTATGAGAATTCGTTAGGTTTTACTTAGAAGTTAGGAAGGAAAAGAAGAAAGAGCAATGGGGGGAAAAGTACAGAGAATGGAAGTGGAAGAGATGATAGCCTCCCCTTGCATGGAGGTTTATTTTTTGCATAAAATTAAAGAATAATGCTAGCAATATATTCTCTAAAACACACTCTCTTATATTGGTTAAAATTCATGAGTCCCTCCAAATTTATATGGGATGGGACCCACATTATTTTATGGAGCACATATTAATTTTAATCAATTAAAGAGTGTGTTCAAAAGTTGTGTGTTGCTACTCTTCGAAATTTAAACCTTCGTATATGGAGGAACTAATATATTGGAGATGAGTTTTGGACTTTGATAAATCTTAAAATCATGTCTTCTTATTATAATACTATAGTAATAAAAAAAATTCATTCATAAGCTTTCTTCTTCCTATCTCTTTTAAAATCTACCTCCGTTCGCCTTCTAACTCTCAAACAAAATCTTAGTACTTCTAACTCTCAAACAAAGTCTTAGTAGACAAAGGATCAACTTTTAGATATCGCATCTTTCTAGGAAGTAGTATTTTGGTTACTTGGCAAAGAAAAGTGGTCGCAAGATCTTCTGTAGAATCTGAATTCATATCCATTGCTCAAGGCTTGTGTGAGTGGTTATCTATGAAGCACATACACATGAAACATGACAGACACCGACGCTGATATGTCAACACTAGTAGTAATTTGAAATAAATTAAACGTAATCACAACTCACAACTCACAAGTGTTAGTATCGGTTTCGGACACGGACACTGACATGGACACATTTTTTCAGAGGCGTCGGTGCTACAAAAAGGAAAAAGGAAAATTAGATCTTTTTTAAATGATTCTCATATTTATTTTTGTATAGGGAACATATTAAATGAGAGGAGTGTCTTATAGGGAGAGATGAGAGAATAAGATTATGACCCTAAAATGAAAGTTAACGGTTGTGATTAAATCCTGATTTAAACATATCAGGTGACCCCTTGGCATTCTGCTTCGTTTCTACTCGAGTCTTGTTTCCTCAGTTTTTCCATTCAACAGTGGGCTGTTCTCATGGATGATGACAATCTTATGGTGGATAAAATGAAAAATTGAGGAACTGAGTGAATGTACCTTTTTCATTGTATTTTCTTGGGTGCAAAAGATATTTTATTTTGATCTCTTCAGCAAAAGACCATTGTTTCGCAGCGAGCAATTATTTCCAGATTTCATTATTTCAAAGCGAGCAATTAATTAAATTAAATTTATCTTGAAGGAATGCATCAAAAGAAGAGTTTTGACATCACTGTCTTCAAATCCTTTTTGCTCTGGTTCAACTGCCAAGGATTATATGGAATCTGTATGGGATGTTTGTTATAATGATACAGCTCCTTTCGATAGAGCTCCTTAACAATTGTATGTGGTTACCAGTGTATGGGATGTTTGTAGAGCATAGGAGCCATTATTTCCATTCTTTGCCTCAAGTGACCAAAAGTGTGTAGTTCAAATTAAAGAAAACGACGACTTATTTATTTTTAGCTGAGATCTCTCTATCTTTTTGAAGTTGTATCTGTATGGAAACTTTTTTCTTCTCATTGTTTCTTGGTTTTCATAAATGGATTTTAGTTGAACACTTGTGCAGTTACTGAATCCAAATTTGGTTGTTGTTACTGGTATATAACATTGACATCGAACACCTGCATTGACATTTGTAATTTTGTTTAATTTATTCAATTTTTTAAATTATTATCGGTGTCACTGTGTCAATATCGGGTGGTGTTCGGGGTATCCGAGCTTCATACGAGAATGGTATATCAGCCATTTGTTGCATTATCATTTGGCTTGCAGCCATTGTTGTAGTTGTATTTATTATTATATAATTTAGGTCTTTATACATCTTACGTAGATGTTTAGAATCAATATATTGGTTTGTAAATATTGCTTCAATATCTGTAATTTAGAATTCAAATTTATATACTTCTCTTGATTAACCATTCAATTTAGCTTCAATATTAATACCAAAATAAGAATACTTGGACATTAAGTCAATATATTGCTTTACTACACTAGCCACAAATAACATTGATGAATCAATAAGATGTTCAAACCCCTATTACAAATATTTTTGTAGGAGAGATATTAATAATCTTTCCAACCGAAGAAAGAAATTGATGTCTATTTCTCTAAGGCTAGGTCTAGATGGTGAATAATTATCAAGAAAAGGTGGAAAAGATTTACATTCTAAATTAATATTTATAAAAAGAAACTCTAATAATATTCATAATGAAATGAGAATATTTAATTGAAATGAAAATTTTGTAATTTGTTTCATTTTCCTCGAGAACAATTAATAAAAACATACATATCGACACACATTTATGAACTAGTGATTCCTAAAATATGACAAAAAAAATATTTTTACCAAATTATTAGGGAAAAACAATTCCTCTGTAAATAATAAAGTGGAAATAAATGAACTCAATTCAATTGTCATCTGGTTACTTCAAATTACTAGTTTCATGAAAACACACCATTTAGAGCCGTTTGTTTCAAGTTTAAAAAAAAAAATTAAATTTTAGTGTTGTATATTTTTAATTTATAAATAATTTTTTTTATATAAAAACTTCAAATAAAAGTTTGGTTTGAATAGTTATTTGTAAAATGTTATTTAGGTAATTTATTAATTTATTAATTTTAAGTATTTTTTAAAAGTATTTTTAAAGTATAATTTTTTGGGAAAAATTACGTTTTTGATTATATTTTGTTCTGGACTGGACTGACATCTGTTCCACAGTTGGGCAAGACCCAATTCAGTCTAGCTCAAGGCCAGACCCAATACGATCATAGGACACAATATAACAGTTGGGGACGTGCCCCTCACGCGCTTGACAGTTCACGCAATTAACTGGCATTCCAAAAGTCACGGAGACAGTTGGACCCGGTCAAAGATCACGCGCTAGATCTTTCACCTGATAGTCCCCTATTGGCCAACCAGATATTTTGGTTACATGGGAGACTTGGCCACGCGATGGGGGAAAAACTTATACCTATACACTCGTACTTGCTTTCTCTCTTTAGCCCAAACACTTACTTGACATTGGAGTACCTTGCAGGTACAACCCCCTCCTCTTCTACGACCACTGTTGCTGCCCTACATCGAAGGCCAAGACGATCCATTCTGATCACTCCAGATAAGTGGCGATGTTTGTGGGAACACCAGCTCCCCCGTCTTTTTGAACTAAGATTTCTCAATCTTCCTAACAAAAGACCAAAGTTACCTCTCTGAACCTTCATCATCATGGCTTCCCACCGTAATGACGTCCAGCAAGATTCCTTCGTCGCTGTTCTGGGTTGTGACGAAACCCCCATTCTCGGAGCTACCACCGAAGAAATTGATCACAGGGACGGAAAACCAACATCTCCTGAAAACGTGAAGCCTCGTGTCCAAAGTTCCGACCATGTATACGAACTTATCACCATCCCACAAGATGCTGACCCTTGCACAGTGGCCCTCATTGCCGCCCTCAACAAATCCAACTATCTACTCTTCCAACAAGGAGAAAAAATCCACATGCTGGAAAACACCATCGGAGAACGACCTCCCCCGCGGGGATCCCTCAGCCCATCTTGCCTGTCACATTCCTTTCTTCAGAAGCATCGCCGAGATGAATCTATAAGCATCTCCCCTATCAAAGAACGATCCAAACTAGAGAAGCGTGGGCATGAGACCATCCGAAAGCGCGATCGTACCCCTCCTTGGAAATTCAGGCACTCCCCCGTATCCAAAAAGACCAGGCCTTCCTGAAAGCCTCGCGAAGAGCACCGAAGCCGACATGAATGTTCTCCTCGAAGTAGCAGGAGCGGGGACGCAGTTATTCATTCAGTAGGTCGCCCAACACGAGCGACGAAGACAACGCAAGTGGTCCGATGTCACAAGAAATCATGGACACCCGCATTCCGTGTGGATTGGAGAAACCTCCCCCTCTAGCTCTCTATGATGGTACCACCAACCCTGGTGATCACATAAAAAACATTGAGGCCATGATGCACTACCACAATGTCCCTGGAGCGATCAAATGCAAGTTATTCCCCACCACCCTCAGGAAAGGGGTTATTACTTGGTACAAGAGCCTTCATCGGGGCTCGATCACGTCATGGAGGAGTCTTAAGGAGCAATTTTCCCGACATTTACTACCTCCAGGCGCCACCCGAAATCCGAAGCTACGCTTGAGGGTATCATCCAGGGAAGGGACAGACCTCTGCACAATCACGTCGACAGGTTCACTAAGGAAGTAGTCAAAATCCGCACAACCGACCACATGAAAAAGTATCTGCTAGAAAAGGGATTGAGGCCGAAAAGCGACTTCTGCAAGGCAGTAGGACTCAACCCTTCTCGGTCTCTAGCCGAACTTCTCCGTCGAGCACAATCCTATATTCAGTACGAAGAAAAGGAAGCCGCGTGTAAGGCCAGAGACTCGAGGGACCAAGAGAGTTCCAGAGCGTCGAAGAAAGACGAAGCAAAAACTTCCAGGCGAGACAAAGACAAGTGACGAGATGATCGTTCCCGAGACCACAAAGGTCCTACAGGTCGATTCACCGAATACACCCTATTGACCGCTCGTATTCTGTCAGAATGTATCAACGCCAAATTCAAGCAAAGAGGTGTCCGATTCCCCAAGCCAACAGCTTCGAAGAGCAATATCGACCGAAGCAAATACTGTCGCTTCCACCGCAACCACGACCACGTAACAGAAGATTGCGTCCCTTGAAAGGCGCTATTGAAATCCTCATCAAAGAGGGCCACCTAAAACAGCATACGAAGAAAGGAGAAGCCCCCTAGGAGAAACGTTGGAATCCAAGAAAGATACGAGAGCCTCATCTTCTAGCCCTCCCCCTCTGGTCGCCATGTCTATCTCGCGACCAGATGACTTTTTCATCCCTGATGGGTTCGAAGGACCTGCATATTTTTCTACGCACAGCCCCTGGGAGGCCTTCTCCGGCACAATGGTTATTTCCTCCGGCACAACTGATCGATTGTAGTCCAGATCGTCTGTCAACACTCGAAAAATTTCGAGGACGATCCCAACCAATCACTTTCTACCGAGAAGAGCTCCCCGGAGGCTCTCCTAACTCTCACATACCTCTTCTTATCAGAGGCAAGTTAACCCACACTGACGTCCGTCGAATACTTGTTGATCAGGGTAGTTCGGTAGACATCATGTACACCAGCCTATTCTGTGCCCTCAAACTCGACCAGAAGAACCTGTCCCCGTATGTAGGGTCAGATCTACAAGGATTCAACGGGGCCACGACTAGACCATGAAAATACGTAGAGCTCCAAGTTACGTTTGGAAAAGAGGATGCCGCCAAAACGATTAAGACTCAGTTCTTAGTCGTAGACTGCCCCTAATTATACCAATATATCTTGGGGAGATCGACACTCGCTGAACTAATTGTTGTCCCTTCCACAGTTCATCTTAAGATGAAGTATTATACTGAAAAGAGGCATGTCGCCACTCTGCACGAGGACGTCTAGGCCGTAAGATGATGCTTCGAAGCGGCTACCAAAGAGCAAAGTTCAATCAGTGCGGCACCGCAGATCTTCAAATGGGCAAGAGACGAAGATCTTCCCAGCGAAGAAAGCCAGCCAGAAAAGAAGCCAACGCTTCAGGTTCATACTATCGACATTGACAGCCGAATCCCATAAGAAGGCGAAGAAGATACTCCAGCCTCAATGGGCAACTCATCCTCCTCGAATTTTATGCGTCAAATACTAGATAGAGAATTCGAGGTGATGACATTCGGGGACGACCCTAACCGAGGAGTCAGGATCGACGCGGGACTGCCGAATGAAGTGAAAGAACAACTAAAGACCTGCTTGAAGAACAACACTGACTTGTTTACTTGGAGCGCTGTAGACATGCCCGACCTTAGCCCAGAAATTGCTTGCCATCAGCTCACCATCGTGCCATCTGCTCAGGCGATAGCACAATGCAGGCGCAAGCAATCCGCTGAAAAGACTGAAGCGGCGAATAAACTTGTAAAAGACCTCTTAAAGGAAAAATTTATCTCGGAAGCCAGATATACAACCTGACTGTCCAATATTGTATTAGTAAAAAAACATAATGGAAAATGGAGAATGTGCGTTGATTAAACCGATCTCAACCGAGCTTGCACAAAAGATGCATACCCCCTGCCCAACATCGATAAGCTAGTGGATAACTCCGCCGATTTTAAACTTTTATCCTTCATGGATGCCTACTCGGGATATAACCAGATCCCCATGGCAGAGAAGGACAAGAAGTGCATCGCTTTCATGACCTCGTCGAGAAACTATTACTACAACGTAATGTCCTTCAGTCTGAAAAACGCAGGGACAACGTACCAGCGAATGATGAACAGAGTCATCCG